TTTTAATATTTCACTAACTGAGATTATATTTATTTTTTGTCAAAGAAGCTATGCAATTATACTTAATTATCAAGATCAAATTAAAATTTTGCATCTAAAAAAATATCAACTCACAAAGATGGATATAAAAGAATAGTATTAGATATCGAAAATTAAAAAATGTTAATCTCCAAAGAAACAAAGATTAAATTTTGTTGATAAATATCTTTGTTTTATTATTAGAAAATCAGATTCTTAACTTGAGATGATTCTTTTTTCATTAATTAATTAAAATTTGTTTTTCTATTAAAAATATTATGAACCCTTGCAGAAGCATATCATAAGAATTCTAATTACCAGATGATTTTTTAAGTGTGTTTAAATCCTACATAGCAATTACTTAAGGAGGATAAGATAAAAGAGTAACTCAATCATAAGTAAATATTTTTGCTACAAATATTCATTCATAATAAATGAATGCTTAGAAAAATATTTATAATGACTTTGACATTGCTTTTGCAGTAGGAATGGTTTTCAAAATTCTTGTAACTTAGAAAATTGAATTATTAGATTATTTTTGTAAATGACATTATTAATATTATTTTAGGTACATTTTATTAAAATATGAATGAGAAGTAAAAATATGCCTTTGAATTGCTTAAATTCACTACATATTAGCTTGATAAAAGAGATCCTTAACTCTATTTAAATACTTTGTTAGCAAATAAACATATTCCTTACCAACTTTTATAAGGAGAAGTCAACTTATCTAAAATATATTCTTTTGTTTATTTATGTGATTTAGGCAGCTTTTTTAAATAATTTAGCAATGGTTAAATTTTCAAATTTGTCTTTTGGCAAGGTTCTAATAAAATTAATTTGAAATAAGTGACAAATGAAATAGATCTTTACTTTTATTAGCCTTCTGCTTCATTGTATTTTTTATTATTATCTTAGTCCAATTATTATTTTACAATAATACGATGAAGTTTAATTAATGTATAAGATTTTTGAAGAACATTAAATATTCATGACTCACATTTCTATATAATTAATATTAGATGCAGTTTCTGGAAAATTATCAATAACTTCAGAAAATTTAAAGTCTTAACCTTATAAATTTGAATCATTACAAAGTCTTGGGGGAGTTTTATTCGCAGGATAACCAAATTGGCAAGAAAAAGTGGAAAAATTTGCTAAAATCTAAAACATGTAATTGTATTTGATTATTTTAAGAGGGAACACTCTAGGATTTTTGATCAATCCACAAGCTACATTTGAATTAGTAAAGAAAAGTTTGGAAGAAAGTTAAGAATAAGATGTTTAATAATAACAAATGTAAGCTTAAGGTGCAAATAAAACTTCTTTTGACCCTTTTGCTACACAAATTCCAACAGAAAGTTAAGCCGTAAACAATTTGAGAAAAACAATTTCATATTGAAAAATATGATAGTTTATAAATAAAATAATTTTCAGATTATTCCAAATTTTTTTATGACTTTTTATAAATCTTCTATATTTAAAGGTTTGTCTAAATGATCATTAGCTCCACATTTTTAAGATTTAAGCTTGTCATCAGATCCTGTAAAAGCAGTCACAATAATTATTAAAGATTAACTTAATTTATATATTTATTCAAATTTCCTTCTTTCTT